GGCGGAAATCTAGTATTATTATAATGCGAAAATAACTCTGTCACGCCTAAACCATTGTACTGATTTTGACGAAAGGCATAGAGATAGTTTGAGTCCCGGGAAATGACATAGAATAGTTTTCATACCGGTTTTTGAAACAGGGACGCGCACGATAAAGATTTTCTGTGACAGAAAATTTCACGCGGTCAATGTCGCGGGCAAAAGCTAGTATACTTACTATACCTACTTCTAGGTTGTAAAATAGCATTTATTACAATGGTACAAGATCCAGCTTAGCTTATGTGCTGTCCTCAAACCTAAGTGATACTCAGTGGCAAACTCTTCACGGGTAATTTAACCAGAGATTATTGTAAATGCATGGCTACGTCCCACCATAGGGCGACTGCAACAATGCCTAGTTTGCTAGACGTTACAATACGATCGAGGGTCGCTGAGATTGGAGGCTGCATAATGGAGTAGAGAGAATAGACAGACTGTATATTCAGACGTGGTTGCTTGCTTATGAATGTATCACATCACTATTTACAAAATAAATAGGCAGCATCTATATTTTATTTTGGAAAGTAACTATTATTTTTGTTTTTGAAAGTTCTAGATTTATCAGATATTTTGTGAAGTTGGTAAGTAAATATTTATTTACCCCTGTCATATTATGTCATTGTCAGGTAGGTAAATTATGTAGAGTCACCGTCCTGACGAATTCTCTTAAGAACTCTCTTCTTATACAGAAGAGAAGATAAATTAGGCTAAATCGAACACTTATTCTTTGTCAAAAAAGCAGATTGCAAAACGCTACCGTTAGAAACTTTTAAATTGATCGAGAAAATTACAACTCTCAAAATTATGAGTATTATGTATTTATTTTAACATTAGCACAGGCTTTTGTGTCTACTCTACACATAGCCCTACAGATTATAGCCACTTCTACCATGCAGGCGATTACTGTAGAGCGCGTGCGTTTCACGGCCAATTAACTACGTCCCCCACGCTCTTGTCGATGCAGATTGCAAGATTGAGCGTACACTTAAGAAGGCTTAGCTAAGTGAACTATGAATTCCAAGCCCCATGAATAAGCACTAGTTTGGCACTTCTTTACCATCTTTGCTTGACCTGTGACTGGTAGAGAATATCCGGCATTAAATCTGGCAGTTGTATATCACCTTACCTGCAAAAAAGTTTAGTTTGTAACTATGCTGAGTTTGAAGGTAATTACAGTAAATTCAGATTGTGCATAAATAGTTTTATCGACGAAACAAAGGTAAAAATTCTCAGATAATTATTTTTTGACCTTTTTTTCGTCGATAAAAGACTCACACTGTATATTTTACAGTTTTAGATGAACTAAAAGTTCAGTCATTAGCATAATTTGTTAGACGAAATGATGGAACAGACTCCAAACCAAACCAACGAAGATTAAACTTTATAGTTAATTTTGAATATGGTTTTATTTATAACCGACTTCAAAAACGTGATTGATAAAAAACCTAATACTGTGTTTTGAGTATAAAGATGTCAGCGTTTACAACATTTTTTTAAATTTCTTTGACGCGCTGGCAGCACATAGACTCTAGTCTGAAATAACATTACATTACTGAAATTACTTGAACTCTCTTGTGTTGTATAGACTTCTGTATACATATAACATGCATTCGCAGAGTGTAGCAATTTGAGGTCGCCAGACTCTCCTGCAGTGCTCTTGCACCGAAAACAATAGTATTGTGTGATGTCTAGAATACCTGAAGGGTGCCACTGAGACACGACGTCTCAATTTACAAACAATGGTGGTTTATCAGTTTGAAACTTATAGGAGAGAAATGTTTGGTTTATTCAAAATGTTTCAAAATATAAATAGGTTTAAATAGGCACCATTAAAAGGCTAAAGCCCGGTCCACCAAGGCGGAGAGGAGCGAAGAAATGTTTTGTTTCAGTAACCAATCTGATTTTTTTTATCCACAACGAGGAAGCTCTTTGCTTGTATCTCACATGATGGTAAGTGATGATCAGGCCGAAGGTGGAAGCGAGCTTCACCCGGAATCCTCAACCACAGAGGAACTGGCTATCTTACCTCTAACTGCCGGGACACAACAATGCTGTTATCATTGTTGTTATGGCGGCAGACTTAGGTAAGATGGTGGTAGCTAGTCAGGCGGACTTAGAATAAGCCCTATTTCATTGAGATTGAATGATATATATTTTTTTCTCTTTATTTAAGGAGCTTTGTCAAGATGACAATGTCGCTCCATCAGATAAAAACTTTAGGTACAATATAATAATATCTAGGTAATATTTTAGGTACAATTTGTGTATTATTGTCTAAAATTGGGTAACTAAAAAGCTAGAAAAACAGTATAAGGCTCTTGCCTCCTCCGACATAGGGGAAGCCAGGATGCTGTTGCACCTGCCGACCGAACACCCGTAAGGTTGAGACCTGGCCTGCCCGATTGAATGATATTGACAGAATGAAATCGGATTGCTTATTCAAAACATTTCTCCGCTCCGCTAAACCTTAGTGGAAACCGAGCCTTAATGTATAGTTATTAAGTCTATGTTGCTTTCCAATTATTTTTAATAGCAATACTCCTCGATTTCTCAACCTTCAAACCCACTGCTGGGTTGGCTTTTTCAGGAAATAATCTGTAGGTATCTCCTAGCAATTGAAAAGTTGCAGCATTGGAGATGAGTTGAGGTGGAATTAGCCTCGATAGCATCCACTCAAACTTACCGGCTTGACTTACCAAAATAATTCCTCTGAGATTACCCTTCTATTTCATAGTTTTCAAACCATTAACTCTAAATACCCTTATTAAAAGCGGTCACCCAAATCCATGCGAGTATTTCTAAATTGACCACTAGTGTTATCGGAGCTGAGCCAGGCGGTGCGGTTTAAATTTAACAGCCAGCTGATGGGAAGATTTGAACCGTAGCGTTATTTTATGGGGCCGACCGAGTTGAAATACCGTTACTGGTCGCAGTGAGGCGGAAGATTGCCTTGTTATACGGTGTTTATTTGTTTCAGGAAAGCTGGGGCTATATAAGGTGTTATTTTTTATACTGATCATACTTCACCAACGCATCTAATAAAATCATACAAATACAACCCAAGTGTTTTTTAAAAAAAATTCAGGCTAGTTTTCGAGTAAAACGACAAAGAATGTTTCGAAAAAAATAAAAAATAAATCATCCTTTGAGCGCGGTGAGTATTCGTTTACGCACGATCGTAGTAGCCGGCCGAGGGCAACGACCGCTGCCACGTGCCGCGCCGCGTGAGTCGGCCATATTGATATCGCTGCCAGTCGCTCCGCGCCCACAGCCCGCGCCGAGCCGCCGATCGGCATGTGGGAGCGCAACAACATTAATAATCGTACCAGTCCGTCTAATGTGCCCAAACGTATTGCAGTGTATGTGCGAGTTATTACAATGCCGCGCTTGATAAATAACAAAACGCAGGTGAAATTATGTTTCGGGCACACTAACTGGCCGACGAGAAACATTGACGAGTCGAAAACCTTCACACCTTGCTTGTTTGGAGCCACGCAGCGCTTCAGGGAGCGCAGCCGTATCCTGACTTGACGAGATCCCGTGCGCTTCGAGGACGAAGTTCTGGATTTCAATTTCAATCACCGGCACAGTGCTGGCGGTACCCAGATGCGAGCGCCGTAGACGCCGGCTTTTGCGTAAAAATACGGAATGCCTTATCAAGGAGTTGTTGCCAGAGGGCCACGACCGCGACCGAGTTCTATCGATGGATATTGCGGAAGTCTACCTAGGTACATACCTACAGTGTGATTTGGACAGATGAGTGCTTGTTTCCGCGAAAGCGACTTTTTCCGTAAAAAAGTTAGTGCGCGAATTGTGAATACAACATCCGACGTGGTGTCTAGTGAACAGCAAGCAAGTGTGCAGTCCGGAAGCATTACCTCAATTCGATCGTGGCTAGATTAGATAGTGCAAGACAGTGTTTACGTGAACATTCAACAAAGGCTTGACGTTCAAAATGTATTGTGATTAGTGTAATAATAACCTAGGAACTTTAAATAACAACATTCAAAATAGGTAAAAGTGTGAATAAGTAAAATCAATGAATCTAAAGTGTGATGGCAAATCATAATTTAGGAATTAAAACCAGGAAAATTGATCAGTGAGTTTTATTTACAACACCTATTCATATTCAATATTAGGGTGCATTTCCACTGAAGCGAAGCGAAGTAGTAATAGGTATGTACCTATAAATTTTTTATTACGTCTCTAAATAAATTGCGTAGGCATTACGAAACCGTAGATATTGAATTTNGCCCGAGCCACAGATAATATAATACTAGTACAGATGCATCATCCCATACTCGAAATGTGGCCGACCTAAGTCTTGAAAATGCTCTGGCTCGTGTGTTGCCTACTGGTGATAACAGATCGCGCTAGTGTGCCGCAGCGGACTTGACCGTCCCGCGGTTCGCGACCCGCTAATGCTTTCTAGCAACTTGAGCGGAGTATTTATTTGGCGTGCTAGGTCAAAAGATGGCGCTAAAGCCAATACGTTTACTGCTTTGTTTATGAAGACATGTAACTAAGCAAAAAACAGATTAGAGACGCTATTGAAAATTTCGACATGGTATAATAATGTCCAAGTAGCACAATGATCACAGCTGACGCTCCGTGTTCAGTACCGTGGGTTCGTGTCCCGCAACGAGTTTATCATCTTAAAGCTTTTTGTTTGTTTTATTTATTTGTTTTATTTTATTAGGTATATAAAACAAGACAATATCGAAACATGCAGTAATAAAGATAGATATAAATAGAAAACTTATTTTTTCAATAAAAATATTCAGAAATAATTATTAAGTAAAAAAACATAACCCTCCTTCTGGAGCAGTCAAATAAATATCAAATTAATTGTTCGTAAAAAATACAAAATCCAGTTTTAGTTTTTCGTACCTACTCGTATCGTATTTTATTCAAAAATAAGCCTACATTTTAATCGGTGTGATTTAGGTTTAGGTTTTTTCTTGCATTCGTTTGCGCGTCACTCGCGATAATAATAGCACCTACCTATTTATTTACGAGTAATAATACCGTGCTGGCACAAAATATACCTAGGTGGCAAAATATTATTTACTTCATCATCATCATTTCAGCCACAGGACGTCCACTGCTGAACATAGGCCTCCCCCAATGCTTTCCATGTTGATCGATTGGTAGCGGCCTGCGTCGTTATTTACTTATTTAATTATTATTTTACTGAGGTTTTATTCCTTCGCTCTCTCTTTATCACGTCGCCGCGCCGAACACGTAGAATTTCGTCCAATGACACCATGCTACCCATCCTTATCGCTCGCGCGAAATTAATTATATTGCTGTCGCGCTCGCTCACTCACTGTGACGGCCCGCCCGTCGTCCCCGTCGTACGGGCTCGGCGACCGGACTACAGCATCATCATAAATGACATTGGGAACTTTTTGCCCCACTTTTCGAAAAGTAGCGGACACAAACGAAACCTATCACAGATGATACATACTAATATCCAATGAACTGGACTTGGTATTACATGGATCTCACAACTTTTTACCGTAGAACAACTGAGTTGCGAGACTTGGTTTTTTTGACAAGTATTGTTTTTGATGGGATATTATTTACTTATTTAATTATTATTTTACTGATGTTTTATTCCTTCTCTCTCTCTATTTATCGTCGCCGAGCACGTAGAATTTCGTCCAATGACACCATGCTACCCATCCTTATCACTCGCGCGTAATTGTATTGCTGTCGCGCTCGCTCACTCACTTTGACGGCCCGTCGTCCCCGTCGTACGGGCTCGGCGACCGGACTACAGCATCATTTTCGATTCACTTACACGTGCTGCGTGAATGGCTGGCATGCATACCTACTAAGTATATTGACGTTACTGGGATCGGGAGTAGCCCCAATGGATGGGTACCTGCCTACCAAGCTTGTTTTCATTTAGCGCGCGACACTGGTCTTTTTAAATAAGTAGGTAGATAAGATTAATAATTCATAAATTAATCGTGTGCGTTACATCAGCGACATGGTGACGCTGGTCGGGATGTGCTTATGTGGAGGGGTTGGTGCCTTGTATCCTGTAAATGTGTCGAGAGTCTACCATTTGTACCGTAGCACAATGATCACAGCCGACGCTCAATATCCAGCAACCGTGGGTTCGTATCCCGCTACAAATTATCATCATAAAACTCCAAGTTGTTTTATTTTGTTAGGTATATAAAACAGGGCAATATCGAAACATGCAGTAATAAAGGTAGAATTATCAATAAAAAACTTATTTTTCCATAAAAATATTCAGAAATAATTATTATGTAAAAAAAACATAACCCTCCTTCTGGAGCAGTCAAGTAAATATCAAATGAACTGTTCGTAAAAAATACAAAATCTAGTTTTAGTTTTTCGTACTCGTATCGTAGTTTATTCAAAAATATGCCTACATTTTAATCGACTTGCACTTACAGGTTTAAGATTTAGGATTATCTGTGATTTAGGTTTAGGTTTTTTGTTGCATTCGTTTGCGCGTCACTCGCGATAATAATAGCACCTACCTATTTATTTACGAGTAATAATACCGTGCTGGCACAAAATATACCTAGGTGGCAAAATATTATTTACTTATTTAATTATTATTTTACTGAGGTTTTATTCCTATCACGTCGCCGCGCCGAACACGTAGAATTTCGTCCAATGACACCATGCTACCCATCCTTATCGCTCGCGCGAAATTAATTATATTGCTGTCGCGCTCGCTCACTCACTGTGACGGCCCGCCCGTCGTCCCCGTCGTACGGGCTCGGCCACCGGACTACAGCATCATCATAAATTTCGATTCACTTACACGTGCTACGTGAATGGCTGGCATGCATTATAATGACGTTACTGGGATCGGGAGTGGCCCCAATGGATGGGTACCTGCCTACCAAGCTTGTTTCCATTTAGCGCGCTACACTGGTCTTTTTAAATAAGTAGGTAGATAAGATTAACAATTCATAAATATTATATTATATCAGCGACATGGTGACGCTGATCGGGATGTGCTTATGTGGAGGGGTTGGTGCCTTGTATCCTGTAAATGTGCCAACAGTCTACTCTACCATTTGTGCCCGGTAAGGTTGCAGAGTACTTAATTGGAGAAAATGGGATTCCGCGGCGGTGATGCTTGAAAACGTTACTGCAGCAGCGACATGATTTTTGCCTATTAGCCTTGGCCAGATTTAAGATGTCTCAATAGGTAGCTTGTTTGTGCCTTTCCATGGTCAAGCAGCGACGTTTGAGTCCCTCGTGGTTTTTGAGAGGGTGCCGCTGCGGTAACATTTTGGGGATTTCCATAATATCTTCGGAACGACTTTATTAATTTATTCACTTATTAAAAGCTCACAAAACAAGTTACAGTCACATTTGGGTACAGATAATATAATAATCCATAGACTCTTGAAAATTTTGAAAATTGTATTATGAAATAAAGAGGGTAAGTAGTGTTAGTTTAACTTATATTATTCTTAGTATTTAATGTTATGAAGCCGTGTAGTGGCGGCAAAGTAGAATACATTATCATCAACCCCTACTCTTCCCACGTGTGTCTACGGGAGGCTACTGAGGGACTCCATATCAAACAGAGAACGGGCAGCAGCGCTCTCTGATAAACATAAATCTTTTAAACTATGATCTCCAACCCGCCTGCCAAGCGAGGGAATTATGGAATAACCCTCCAGCAGTGGACTGTAAAGGGCTGTTGATGATGATTTAATGCTATTAAGGGCCGATTTTTCAATCGTCGGATAACTTTAAACTGAAGAATAACTTTGGCACATTGACAGTTTTAGTATGGGAATTATGTCAAAATGCAAGTTTATTCTATAGTTAAAAGATATCTGACGATTGAAAAATCAGCCCTAAGTGTTATTAAAGTTTACAAAGGACAACTTGACTTTATATTCAGGATATCTCTCCTGAATTTGTACAGCTTAGAACAGAATATATCCAAAAAAAGAGTGTTCAGTGATAGTGTCATTATTAAGTCTGTCTGCACATTCCGGGTATAGAGTTGTAAAAGAGGTATTGTTTTTATACACTTGGAGCGAAAATATATTTAGTAGGGTTTCGGGATTTGAAGACCCTTGAGGAACGTGTGACAAAGCCAGGAGTTGGGTACATTTGGAGACAATGTGGTAGTAATGACAACGAAATTAAAGACCTTCGTCAAAGTACACCCCCAGGTCTCTGACAATGACACTTGAATGAAACTTGATGGGCAGATGCGATTTTTGTTGGTAGGTGGCATGTTATTGGTGCCAATGGGTGACTTAGTCATTATTTAAAAAAATTACGCATGGCATATGAATTAGATGGCCTACTGTGAAAATCGAAAATAGCCTCTAGCTCTTCAACTGCATAAGAAAGGCGCTCTGTGATTGCAGTGGCAGATGTCACAATGTTTTGAATACCTATGCCTAATTTCGATTAAATAAATCATAATAATTAATAATTTCGATGAATTTCACAACTGAAAATGGCTCACATGTATTATAATTTTCAATAAATTACCACAAACTGTTGTAGAATTGTCTGTCCATAAATTTAAAGCACATATCAGAAGCACCTTAATTAAAAATGGCTACTATAAAGTTGATTATTATATTATAAAAGATAAAAATGTTTGGAATGTTTAACTACCTAGCTCGCATCAATACTTATGACTATAATTTGTATATTTTAAAGACTGTGAACCCTTGAAAAGGAGGCTGACAATAGTGACTGAATTTCTTGCGCTGCTTCTTTTCAGCACTGGCCCATTTATTGTCCCGAAGTAGTGGTAGGGTTAATATTGGGACGGCTAAAAGTGCTTTTTCAAAGCCTATTTGCAAAAATAAACGAGTTTTATGAGTTTTTTTACTTATTTCGAGCTTAAATAAGGCAATATTTAAGAAGATAACTGCTTTTTATGGTAATCAATTTGCAGTGCTTTTATATTGAAATAAATGCATACTGAATTTCAACTTTCTACGCCTTGTAATTAACCGATAACAACTGTGTACAGTATTTTTGCGCACGGGTTATGCATAGCATATTTTTATTGCTTTAATAGATAGAAATAAGAATAACAATAAAAAATTGTTCTAAATTTGCTTTTATGTGTGAAAGTATTAAAAATATAAATGAATGTAGGGTAAACCAGAGAGTGATTGCCCACTGGTAGTGATTGCCCGCTTTAAGAATAATATTGTCAGGTGCTGACTTTGAATCACTCTAGTTAGATTTGAATTTACTAAGTAGATGGCTCCGAGATCAATTTAGTTACAGTAGATTTAAAATCTGTCTCTACCGATTCTGACTCATCAACATCAGCTCAAGAAATATTTGATAATAATGTTAATAAGGCCAAACGTAATTTATTTTGATGAAGACTGTACTACTAGAATTTAAGTTTGATGTTTTGTTTTGTTTATTTAAAGCCTATTTTGTCATTTTAAAATTGATTATTTTGTTTTAAGATACTGGGCAATTACTGTGCTTTGATGTGGGCAATTAGTGTAAGTAATGGGCAATGACTGTACTTTTTGGAGGATTTTAAATTTATTTCAATATTTTCTAAGTTACGTTAGTTTTAACTAAAAACTGTTAATATTCTGTTTAACAGTTTATTGAGTTATAAGAAAAAAGTCATAAATGGTCGATAATTAAAATACTTTCTTTAATTTTTCATCTCAATGTGTTTGAAATCTTTAAGTGGGCAATAGCTATACGGTTTACCCTAAATGATGGACAGTTTTTTGCAGTTTTTGATTTCTTTCAAACAAAAAATATTTTTTTTAAATCGGTTTTTGTTTGACAGAGAAATCGGTAAACATTCATAAAAAAATTTGATCAGATAAATAGAATATTATCCCTTTCTATTGAAGTCAATTAATAAGGGTTACGTTTTTTGCCATTTGGCGTAGCCAACGGCGTAACCTAAAAACGCTAAAATAAATAAATAACCTTATTAACTGAAGCATAAGTTGGTCCTTAATTTTACACTAAAACTTTTCTTCGTAAGTACCTACCTTAACGTTAAACATGGTAAGGCTTACGATTTAGAGGTTGGTTTGAAGTACTGAATAACCGCTTTTTTATGGCCTATAAGCACTGCAGATTGATTACCATAACTATGGAATAATGACTATGGCACTAATTGGTAATAACCACATGCCACGTGCTAGCAAAAAATAATATCTGTCCATCAAGTTGTTCCGAAGATATAGAAATCTGAAAAACGTTACCGCAGCGGCATTTGCAATTTCTCAAAAACTACGGGAGGCACAAAATGTCGCTGGTTGACCATGGAAAGGCACAAATATAACCTACTTATTTAGATACTTTAATCTGGCTAAGTAAAAATCATGTCACTGTAGTAACGTTTTCAAGCATTACTG